GTGTTGGGGTGGGTTGACGTTGAGAAGTGTATTACTGGCCCGTGCCAAAAATCGTACGATTTTCGACAGGTTTTCCAGCATGCTTGGAAGACGAAAGTCGTAGGAACGCACAGTAGAAGCGGTCGCACGCTGCCCATACACCTGCCGATTATCGTACAATCGTGGGATCACCCGTACGATAATCGGCAGGTGTATGGACACCTTTAGTGTATGTGTATATTAGGCCCCATTCACACCTACAGTATGTTTCAGGTGTGATTAGAGATTCCTGTGTAAGGAACTTGCGTTTTCCTGCAGTAGTAATCCCTAATCTGCCGTTTACCAGCGGCAACTATCATAAGATTATTTAAGAGGGTGTGTTTAGGGGCGGAATTAAGGCCGTGGCAGGGTTAGGTGGGGCAACTGGTGGCTAGTAGCTCAGGACTTGAAATTTTGAGCCCTGAAATAGTGTGTTACCCATCGGAATCTGCGGTTCCTCCCACCAACCCCAATGTTACTACATAACATAGTATTGAGCCATCGGCCAGTGGGAGGAACTACGACACCCAGCATAAGTCACGCTATTCCTCATACCTGGAACTGTTGGATAGCAGCAGCACCTGGAGCTCTTCCAGCTTCTTCTTTTACAGGCTGGCACAATTTCTTTCCTTCTTTAACCACCTCCCGTCCATGGCTGTTCCTGAAAGTATATTACATCACTTCCGCATTCATTGTCACTCTCCGGTTACAGATGCCGGAGAGAAGCGGATGAAGCAGATATCTGCTTCATCAGCTTCTCTGGGGGTCCCTAGTTGACATTAGGGGTCTTATAGACCCCTGATGTCTCCATACAGAGGACCTGTCATGTGAATTGGCTATCACATATCCAACCAGCTTTCTCAATTCAGAATGACTTGTACAAAAAAATAATCTGAGAATAAATATGGTGAATGTTGCTCCAATCCACATAATCTGTTAGCAGCAACCATTCCCAGAGAATGTTTTGTACAAGTCATTCTGAATTGAGAAAGCTGGTTGGATGACCAGTGAAACGTCTTCAAGAAAAATACAGCAAGTCCAGTTGCCTTGACTTATTTTTTACAGATATACCATGACCTGGATGAATGAGAACCTTCACAGATGTATTGACCATGTATTGTTTGTAAGTCAAATGCATTTTTTAATATCTTGCAATACCGCGTTGTGGCCACTAGATGGAGCTGAGTATGTATGTATTTCCTATGCTCCTCAGCTCCATCTAGTGGCCATACTGTGGTATCACAAGAGCATTGTTATTATTATCATTGCTATAATACAGGATTTTTGTAGCACCAACAGTATTTGCAGTGTTTTTAAATATAAAGAAGGGCAGTACAGTTACAATGCTATTAAAGACATTTGTTGGGAGGAATAGAACAGGATGGTAAAAGGAAATAGAGCATAACACAGCCTTCTCATCATTCTACAAATCACAGATAATAACATTCTCTAACCTCTCCTATTGTATTATATATAGCTAGTGTGTGATCCAAGGTTTAGCACGGCAGTAAAGCAATTCATGATACAAAGGAAGCCAAGTAACAATGTACAATGGGCGGGAATGGCAGGAATACATGAGATCTGTGAGATGCAAATCAGCTACCAGCTCTAATTCTGCCAGTAAACACCCCCTCTCCTCTGTTGTAATGCTTATTGACTGCTCCACGTACCGCACGTGCACCGCATACACAGACGCGTCATACCAAGCCCCGCCTCCTACGCTCGCTAACTGGCTGAGCTGCAGGCTCCTCCCCTGCTCTGATTGGCATAGTTGCCTGACATTCACGCAGCCTCCAGGTCCCAGAAGTGAAAATCTACTTCCGGGCCGGGGATGCCGGTGATCGATCGAAAGTTCGATCGAGTCTTCCTTACAACTACGAGGTTTGCACACAAAACTTCTTCTGCACGAGCGCCATCCGCGGCATTGCCCTATACACATGCACCACAGCAATAAAGTAATAAAATGTCGACAGATCACCGGGAGAGGTAGTTGCCTGTCTGCGTGTGTGTATAGTGACAGGCTGAGTGTGAATGGAGATGGTTCATAGGGGAGATGTATACAGGGAGAGGCCGTGTTTATGTGTCATGGGGGTGGATTTAAAACAAAACAAGATACATAGCAGGCATGACCTCCAGGGACAGTCCCAGGA